ATTGTTGTGAATAAATTGATGTGCAAAAACATCAACAATAACATACAATAATTTCTATGAATTTATTCATTCAATTCTTCTTATTTATTTTTGTTTCTTTATCTCATAATCTCGTTCATTAGATTATAAAATTTAATATTATTATTATATTTATTGATATTAAAATGCAGATAATAAAGAAATACACAATTTGTGTAATTAAATAATTTAATTGACGTTTTAATAATAAATCCAATGAAATAAGATAAATATTATAAAATCCTTTTTAGTTTAATACACACCAATGATATAATATTAAAAGAGAATAAATGTTGTGTTACTATTTGAATTTTTTGATAAGCAACCGTATTATTTAAGTAGTATTAATGATGTCTGTATCTTATTCATTTTACGTTATTTGTTAATCAATTTTATATTTTAAATCAGATGTTTGTATTACTTTGAATATTATCATTCATTTCAATTGTTTATCTATTTTTATATTATTCATCATTCTATATATTAATGGTTTTATTGAAATGAATTATAAACACATTTAAAATAAAATTATATAGTTCTGTATTAATATTTGAAAATCAATTGATATAATAACATTATATTTTTAATATATTTTCATCATGTTAAGTATGAATGAAAAATAACATAATGTTTAAATACTCTTTAATTATTCAATTCCTATTTGTCTAACCTACAATATCAACACAAAGTAAATGATAAATGATAACATATTGTTCTGTTTAATCATTAATTTAGGTACAATGTTTTGAATTACTAAATAAATACAAGAAAATTAAAATATAACAATTCAAATAAAACCATTGAAAAATCACTTGTTGATTAAGATGAAAGATTTATTTTTGTTTTTATACAACTCTGTCATAAATGAACAGAACAATATCAATGAAATAAAATGAATAACAAAAGAGAAAAGTAAATCTTTACAAGGTAAAATTCTAGAACTGAATCAAACTATTACTTTAAAATATCATAGAAGAGAAACTAACTACTTACTTTTATTCAAGTACAACTGATGATACAAAAAGATAGTCTTTGTGCTAGAATAAGGATATGGTTAAACTAGATACTAATATGATAGATAAATACATTAAAACGTTTATTTCAGAAGAAAAGTAATACTAAATCATTATAAGTATTAGAGAAATTGATTTAAAATATTTCTATATCCTCAAGTAGTATTGAACAGTTAGTACAAAGACTACTTAAATGTTTTAACAATATTCTAAACGAAAGGCTACATTAAACTCATGCATGATATTCAAACATAAGAATAACCAATAGAATCAAACAAATCATTATCACATAACCATGCAGATGAAGAAAAAGAGATAGAATTTGTTTTTATACAACTAACAATAAGTTTAAAACACTGAACCACATTTAATTGAAACAAACAAGTATTACAATTCAAGACATACTACGTATATTAAAAGAATACCACAAATTAGTAGTAAAAAGGCAACTAAACTATCAAGACTAACAGATCTGATATTAAGAATAAAATAAATGTAAAAAAGAAAGATAATTATTGGAAAGGGTAAGTTAATTGAATGAGTTGTTGTTTCATTAAACTTAACCAAATGAAGATTTTTTGAAAAATAAAACTTAAAAAGAAAAAGAAAGAAAAGAATGGCAACAGTGCAACAAGGAAAAAAGAAAATGAGGATTATTAATGGTGTTCTTGTTGAAGAAGATGAATCTCAACAACCCAATACCTTTAGACAAGCACCACCAGCACAATCATACAATTTATTTCCAACACAAACAACTGGAAACAATCAAAGAACTTCATCAAATAATCATAAACAAGAAGAAGTAGTTGTTCCATATGCAATGCCAGGAGTTTTTGTATTATTATCCGAGTCAATATTTTTTGACTGGAGTGTTGTGTTAGTTACATTTATTATAATGATTATTGTACTAGCGTATTTCATTGTAAGAAAATAAACTAAACAGAGTCATTTATTATTCTTTTATGTTAATTTTTATTCCAAAAGCACCAATAAAACAATAATAAATCCATATAATAATATTATATTAATAATTATTAATAAAAATGAAAATAAAAATATCTAATGAAAATAAATAGTAAACAAAATTTCTTTAAATGCCTTCAAAGTAATTCTTTGTACTAGCAATACCATCAATTTGTTTCTTTGCTTTCTTCTTTGGTTTTATAGCTTTGACAGGTCCATCTGAAAGTTCCCAACCTTCTTCTTTATCAGTTTCATCTAATACAACTGCTGGTTCTGCTTTCTTTACTTTTTTAGTTTTCTCTGTTTTAACTCCTTCTTTTTCATTAGACTTTTTTTGTGAGTGTTGTTGTTTCTTAGCAAATGTCTCCCGTTTCTTATGAACTCCAAATGAATTCTTTCCTTGATGTTGTCCTTTGTTAAACGAATTCTTTGGTGCATCACTTCTTGGTGGAACATCATCAACTAAAATAGTAACATCTCCAACACATTCTCCACTTAATGCTTTAACATTTTTCCATGTTTCTTCATCTTCAAAATCAGCATAACATTTTCCTGTTTTTCCTTGTCTAATACCTCTTGCTCGAACATCAATAGTTTCAAGAAGATCTTTAACCATCCATTGTTCTAATGGAGCTGTTGGATTATAAAACATTAATACCCAATCACTCTCATTATATTTGTCTTTATAAAATTGAGTACTTCCAGTTGGTTTGTGTTCTTCTTTAATAACATTTGGTGTTTTTGCTTCAACTTTAGTTTCAACAATCATTTCACTCCATGAGGGTTTAGTAGTGTCTGCCTGAGGAACTGAGTTATCTTTATTAATATTAACTACTGGGACAGTTTGCTCAGTAGACATTTTTCTAATAACTTTTTTATTTATTAAACAGTTCTTTTAAAAGGTAATTCATTTTTTTAAACCCTGTTTAGTTTACCCTATTTTTTTTTTCTTTATTCTTTTCAATTATTTATTAAATATAGTTTTTCTAATAACTTAATTCTTTTCTTAATATTTTTGACGTATTATCTAAAAACAAAAAATTATAATGAGCAAGAAAATAATTGGTTTAGAAAACAACAGTATTCATAAATACTCCAAGTGTATCTACGGCATTTTCTGTTAAAGCTTGGTCAGCAATTCTTTGTAAATGTTTTTTAGGATCAATTTTACCAACTTGTTGTAAGTCTCTTAGTTTTGGATCTAAAGCTTCATCTTGTATATTTTGGTTATATTGCTTCACTAGTCCAATTAATTTATCAATAGTTTGAATGTTTGAGTCTTTACGTTGTGAGGATTCAACTTCTAATGAATCTGTCCATTTTTTCTTTTGTAAATTCAATAACATTCGTTCATCTACTTCATTCTTTGAGAATTCAATTGGCATAGAATAATATTGTTTTCCTAAACCTCGGACTTTGGCTTGTGAAGTTGGTTTAGTTAAATGACCTTGATTTGAAGTGACTTGTCTTGGTTCAACTCCTAAGCTGAATTGATTTTGAATAGTTCTAAATGCATCAATGACAACTTTTCCTTTAACTGATTGGATTGGGTCTACAACTACAGCGACACACCGTTCATTTAATTTTTCAAATGATTGTTGTGTAGAAATATCTATTGAAGATAACCAACATCCAAAACCAGGATGGCTATGATACCATCCAACAATTGATTCTTTTCTTCCTGTTTGTCGTAACATTTCGATCATTGTTGTTTGATATACTTCATCAACTGCTTCAACTGAAACTCCTGTACCATTTTGTGGCATGGCAAATACATCAACTACACGAACAGTATAATCATCAACATATTCTCCAAGCATTAACCCCATAACTTCAACAGGGACACCAGCCCTTCCATGTTTCAACATTTTTAATAAGGCAAGAGAAGAAATATAGACAGTTTCACTTGTATCAGGGAGAGGCATATCTCCAGAAATTGGTCTTCTTCCACCAAAAGAGAACATTGTTATTAAAATTGTTAGTTCTATTAGACTTTTTCTTTCTCAACTAATCATACTTTATGATGAAGTGTTAGGGTTAAATAGGGTTTCCAAAAAATAAGAATAACAATTATTTATTATTTAAAAAAAAAATTGTAATAAGAGAGAAGAACTAAAAAATAATTTTAAACAGATTAGTAATAAATGACAATTCTTTTAGGTATTATCATTTGTTTAATTCTATATATTTGTATTCTTATTCTCTATAGTCAAGGAATGGGAAGTAATTGGTACACACCAAATATGACAGGGAAAGTTGTATGTATTACTGGAGGTAGTAGTGGAATAGGTTTAGAGATAGTAAAATATTTAAAACAATTAAATGCAACTATTATAGTTCTTGGAAGAACTGACTGTTTAATTTCAGGAGTAAAGAATATTTATTTAGACCTTAGTGATTTAAATAAAGTAAAAGAAACTGTCAAAGAAATTCATTCTGTTATAGACCATATTGATATTCTTATTAATAATGCTGGATGTGTTGCTATTCCATCAAATATTAAAACAGCACAAGGATATGATATTACAGTTGGAGTTAATCATATTGGACACGCATTATTAACTTTAGGAATATTAGACCTTATTAAAAAAAGTCAATCTCCTAGAATTATTGTTATGTCTTCTTTATCGGCAGCTGATTGGCATCAAAAAGAAATTCCATTTAATTGGAAAGATGAAGAATGGGATCCAGAAATACAATACCCAGCAAGTAAATTAGCTAATTCATTATTTGCAATTAAACTTGCTCAATTAAATCCTGATATTAAATGTGTTCATGTTCATCCAGGTTTAGTTTGGAGTAAGTTTTGGAGATATATGACACCAATAATGAAATTCATTTACACAATCATCCTCTTTTTATTCTCAAAAACTCCATTACAAGGAGCTCAAACTGCAATTTATTGTGCATTAGCACCAAATATTGAAAGTGGAAAATATTATGCAGATTGTATTCCTTGTGAAGTAAATCCACTATGTAATGATCAAACTGTTATTGACTCACTATGGGAGAAGACAAAGAACGTGATAGATAATAAATAATTAAAAATTTCCTTTTGAGATTAAGTTTATTTTTAATGGCATAAGTTAATTAAGTTTTTATAAATTGTTCTTTATAGTTCATTACTTTGCTGATACTTCTTCTCTCATTGTTCTTAGTTAGTTTTACACTGTGTGTTTAGTTGTAGTAGAAACATCGTTTCATAAAATAATCTTATTCTTAATTACAAGGATTTTAATTTCTTTGGTGTTATTAATTTCAATTTTAAATTATTTATTAATTTAGTATTTTCAACATTTACTAACTCACAGACTGAATTCACTGCTGTATTTAATGAGAAGAATATGAAAATAGCAGAAAAGTATTATAAAAACAAGAAAAGAACAATGAACAGAAATACTATGTTTTTCGTTTTATTTGTTTCTTTTTCAAAACACTTTCAATTATATTCAAAATTTTCATTATTTCTTTTGTTTAGTTTCTTTATTATTTATTTGTACTCACTATTCATTCTTTATTATCTCCCTTTTTTATTTCAATATGTGGGAGTTAGGTGTTGTATATTCTCAAAAAGAAAAAGTCAAGATTGTATTTTCTTGTATTTTCTTATAAATTCACTTTTTCATGAAAGTCCAACTTGTTATTTTATTAACTCCATTATTAATTTATAATTTCATTATTCTTTGTTTTAGATCATTTCTTTTGTTATTTTATTTTTCATTTTATTCAATTTTTATCTTTGTATCACTTGTTTCTTCTTCTGTGTTATTCAATAGAAATATTTACATCTTTTCTTTAATCATCAACATCATATCACTCCTTATTCAATAAAAGAGACAATGAAGTTCGATTTTTATTATTTTTCTAAGATATTTGCATGTTCTATTTGGTGTTGTCTGTTATATCTCATCCTGTTTATTGAATTATTTAACTTCATTCTGCTTTTTATTTCTATTTATTTTTCTATCCATCATTTCACATTCTGTATTTACATAATATTCAGTTAAACGTATTAGTTTATGTTATTCTTTATTGTTTTATCGTTATTTAGTTTCTTTGTAATTTATCAGTGATGTATAATTCATTTCATTCAATGAAGAATCATTCTTGAAGTGGCTCATTTAATAATGAGCTTCAGTATAACTTTCATTCAAATAATATTATGACTGTGTTAGTAATCAGACTTTATCCACATCAGTTTCATTAAATGGTATTATTATTCTTGTTATTTGTAAAAGTACTAATACATGAACAGTTTGTTAAATGAATGGAATAATTTTTTTCAAAAAAAATACAAATCGTGTATTATACTGGGTTTGAATATCATATTTGTTGTTTGTATATTTGATCTTTTTTTATTTCATTATAAATCATTGATATTATTTTAAAAATAATACTGTTTATTTTCATTTTTTCATGATATTTTCTATTTCTTTCAGTGATTATTCACTTCATTTTATTCTATTTATTGAGTATTTCATTATATAACTTCTGTTTATTCTTGTTCCTTTTATAATATTTGTCAGGTTTTTTTATTTTATTCATACTTATTTATATGCTTTTATATCTGTTTTGTATTTCATTGTTAATAAATATCAGAGTCATTAAAAATATTTTGAGTTAGAATTTCTACTCATTTTTATTTTATTATTTTAACTAGGAGTTCTTCTGTTAAGTATAATGAACTTATTCGTTGTTTGTTCTTTATTTATATTCTTTCCATTCTTTTGAATATATTTTGTTCTTCATTGTGTTTTTGTATTTTGTATGCTGTTATTCTCTTTTTCATTCTCTTTTTCATTGTGATATATTATTGAATGTTTTAACTGTTCTTTTTATTAAATTTATTTATCTACTGTATAAGTTATTTGTGTATATATTATTCTATAAATACAGAATTTCTCTATTTCTTTATATTTCTCTTTATTTTTCATCAATATTGTGCATATCATATATAAAAATAATCTTCATATATTAAAGTATCATATTAATTGTTTCATTTTATGTTCTAATAAAATGTTTGAAGTGAATTACCATTTTGTCTTTTTATAACATACATTTTTCTTTTTGTTTCTCATTTTATTCATTCAAGTCTTCTATTATTCAAATGTTGAGAAGAACCTTTATTTTATATATGCTTATTACATTGTTGTTATAAATTAGTCTGTCATACTTCATGTTGAAATTTGAAAAGAACAAATAGTTTCATGTATTAGTCTCTCAAATTTAACTGGTGATTGTTTGATGTTGTATTTAATAAAGTAAAGTTGGTATTAATACTACATATGTCATTTATGACTATATGAGATTTGTATGAAGATATGAAAGTGAATGTCTGCTTGAAGTAAATAGTATGTACAATGAAAGTCATTTATTGAATGTTATTACAAATTCATTAAAATGAAGAACTGAATAAGAATAAAATATTTAAATAATACTAAAACAATTATATGACATTGTACAACTAAAACATGTTTAATAAACAATATCTAATGTTGTTATTATTATTATTCAATTCTATTTTCATGAAAAACAATGAAATAGAAGAAAATAACAATAAATAAGAATAAATGAGTTGTCAAATAACAAATAATAAATGTTATTGAATATAAAATAATATTAGAAACAATCAAATGATAGAAATATATGAAATGATAAAATTGGATGACTAATAGATAGTTATGTTTGAAAATAAAAATAAAGATAATAAAATAGAAAATGATGAAATTAAAACTATGATAAAATTGAAATGATGAATGATGAAATAAATAGAGAATAAAAGAATATGAAGAAGAATGAAACAAAAAGACGACATATAAAATACATAGAATAAAGAAACAGAAATGATTGATAGAATAAATGTAAAATAGAAATAATATCTGATGAATATGATGGTAAGAATGAATTACGATTATAAGAAAGAATATTATGAATATAGAGAAATTAATAAAATAAAAGAAATAATCAAAGAAATGATATAAAATGAAACAATTAAATGAAAATAAAATTGTGAATGTTTAAATATGAAGAATTGATATGAAATTAATATGTTATTTAATCTACAACAATTTTATGAATGATATTTCAATCCACTTACAATTGTTATAAAATGTTGATCATTTTTAACATAATTAAAAGATAAAATATGATTGATTTAGAATTTTATATGATGATATTTTAACACAAAATAGAATGAAGATAAAGAAAATGAAATACTTATTAAAAATGAAAAATATAACATACAAATTGTTTAAAAATAACATATAAACAATACAATCAAATAACAACTGAATTTAATGAATAGATATAAATTTTGAATGTGATAATGTATAATAACTTAAATTCATTACTAAAATTTGTATGAAATGATTGATAAATGAAAAGATTGATAATAAATAGTTAAAAGAAGAGAATGAATGATAATAAAAGTGGTGATGTTTGAATGAATACCAAAAGTAATTTACATATTAACATTTATTCATTTAAAAAAAGAAGTTATATATTAACAGAAGAAATTTAAAGACTTTTTAAACGAATAAATTAATTCATGTTTTATTTTGATAATAAAATTGAAATAATAAATAATGAATAAATCAAATAAGTATCCTTATTTAATCTATTTTATATTTCTTTATTCTTTTATTATCTGTTATCTTCATTTATTATTCTTCTTATCAATTTTATCATCATTTAAATAATCAAATAAAAGAAGAAGTAATTTATTTAAATAATAGTTGTTAAATAGAATTTGAATATAATGATGAATACGAATAAATAGAATAAATAAATGATTAATTCATCTTTCCAAATTCTCCAACATTTTAGAAACAAATATCATTGTTAACGTCGGTAAATGTTCAAAAAGTACTTGCTGATAATGAACACTATGTTATTATCATATGTTGTATTCAACAATAGTCTTAACACTGTATTCTATTCTCTTAATTATCCATTTCTTCTCTTTCTTTAAATACTCATAACATAAAAATATTAAATCAACACAAAAATCACAAATAAAATATAATCAAACATAACCATTCATTCTCAAAATAATAATTAATAAAATAAGAAACAAACAATAAAAATATAAACAAAATAAACTAAAAATTAGTAGAATTGTTTGTTTTATTACTTGCTTTATTAAAAGCAATAAGTTACCATTATCAATTACTTTGACTATATCTTTGGTTATGGTACAAACAATATTCATTAACACTAATCATCTTTCTTTCTTACGCTTTATTATCTTCTTCTTATGCTATTTTTTTATTTTTTTTTTCATACTTATTATTTTTCTACTTTTATATCTTTTATTCATTTCATTCTTTTGACCATTATCATTATTTTTCTTCTTTTTGTTGTCAATTTAATAAATTCTTTAACTTTCTTCATTTTCTTTTTATTTTGTTGAAATATTCTTGTTCTGTATTATTTTTCATTGTCTATTTGTTTTTTTTTTATTTCTTCATATACTCATATTTCATTATGATATCATTTTTGTTATTACTTTATGTTTCTTATTTGTATTATGTTTATAATCATTTCATTTACTAGTGTTTTTCTTATTCATTATTCATTTCATCTTCTCTTTTATTCACTTTTCTTTGTATTTTTAAACCCAACGTCATAATCATTCATTTCAATTACACTCATTGTATTGATAGTTTGATAGTTTGTGCCTAATTTACTATATTGTTCCATGGTAATATTAGTAATATTAGTTAATAAATTATTTGTATTGAAGAAGTGTCTCAAAGAAAAAATTAATCAGATAAATGTTAATAGAATTATATTATTAAAATAAGAAAATTTGTATATTGAATCAAAAACAATAATAATCAAAATTTTTTTATAAAAAATAAAAATAAATTAAGAGAAAAATATATTTTTTTATCTCCAAGTTAAAACAACTAGTCTTTTTAAACCAAAGTGAGATGGAAAGACAGTTTTAGTAAAAATATTTCCACCTTTTCCAACAGTATCATTATATGTTTCATTAAATGATTTACCACTCCATTCTTTAGAATTAATATAACATTGT